TTACTTTATTTTTTCGATATTTTTTCGGCGTCCAGAACGTTATGATCTTTGCCGAGTCGGGATCTCAACTGGCGCAGCGGTTTCCGAAAATGTTTTTGAAACGCTCGAATGTGCAGCAGGCACCGCCGATCGCTCGCTCTGTATCTAGTTTCGCCACCGCCAAGTGTAAAAATAAAATCTCGGAGAGATCGGAGAGTGCACAGATCTCTAGAGATCTCTGCTCGTTCAGCGAGAGCGGAAAATAGAGGAAAATCCACTGGCTAGACAATGTAAATATCGCCAATAATTAACGGGATTATTGAATGTGCAATGCAATTGGGTAATTTCTTCTGAGATTTTCGGCCAATTTTCTGGCAATATATCGTTTGCGCTTTCCGCTTAAAAATAGTAATTTGTAAGAGAGTGAATATAATAATAATAATCGAACGCATTTCAGGTGCCAAAAGGCGTGGGTGGCGCACCTGCCTCTCGTGGGGTGTCAAAGGGGTGTGGCATCCATCCCCCGCCCCCCTTAAATGCTTGTCAGAGTTTTGAGAAATTTTCCCAGTTTTCCCCCCCCCTGCGCCTTCGATGGCGCTTGTGCACACGACACACAAGTCGCCGCACAGACACACTGAAATGGAAAATCTCGTAAATGGAAAATCTCACAGATACATTCAGCGAATCCCACACACACAAACACACTGCATAATGGAGCATAAATCGGTATTGGATCGGGGATCTAAAGCAAATGATCTGCCTCTGGCATTCGTTCAATATTTTCGTTTATACATAGAGTTCCCTTTAGTTCTGCGTTAATTGATCTGCGCTGCTCTGCCCATGCATTATCGTAATTGTATTAATATATGGAATTTATTTTCACATTCCTCGATATTCTGGCAAATTTGGCATACAGACATCATTGGGATGCCAATGGATGCAGAATGTTTACTGAAACGCGCCAACAGGTGTGCCGGCCAAATAAGAAAATCACACGGAATTTAACATTAAATAATTCCCAATTGAGGAAGGAACATAAATAGAAGAAAAATGTAAATTTCAAGCCTAATTTTAGATATAAATATCAAGAATTGACTATGGATATCAAGGGGATTATCTTTTAAAATGTACTTTTAATGAGCATTTCAATTTTAGAAATTTATGTCAGTAAGTTAAATATAAAGATATATTTAACGTATGCTTTGGAAGCACATTCAACACATTTTCAAATTATTTTAGACGAAGTTGTAATTAATCTTTCAAAAAACATTAAATCAATTTCCTCCTAAAACAAAAGGCTACCCAACATTTTTAACACATCTAAATGATAAATAAAAACGCTTGACGTTTGATGGATATCAAACAACTTTTCATGGAGCCCACATTTCGTAATGACCTCATCATGAGTCTGGTCCTAAATCAATTTCAACGTACATATTTTGCGGCAAATTAAAATATTGCACCCCAATTAATAAGAAATGTTTGTTTTGCGGCGGAACAAATTGCCATTAGACAAATTGGCGCGACATTTAAGGGCAGCCGCCCAAGGGGAATTGGTGCGAATTAAAAACAAGTACAAATTACCAATGGGCCGCGAAGATGTTCTATAAAGACTAGTGACAGTTCAGTGGTAGAAACCTATTAACAAGGTCTCCCAATGCCTAGCTCTAGGTCGTCAATGGTGTAAGAAAAATGGCTTAGTTCGAGATGAATAATAAACGAAATCAACAACTCGTAAAATCTTCTGGCTACAGAGAGCGGCAGCCACAGAAATTGTATTTATATATATGTATGTATATGGATTGTTTAAAAATCAAAATGTTGATGTAAACTGATTCACTGCTGTGATGGCTTGAATTTATTGCTTTAATAATAATAATGTACACAGTGACGTGGGTTGCAAAAGCGATGAAGGGGTCTCAAATCAAATAAATATCTAGGGAATAATGTGTAGTTTCAAGAGTTGGATAATATCCACAAAACCAAACAGAAACAACATAAAATTAAGTGTATAAACAGCACTAAATTAATTCGGATTTCTTTGTTTTTATTGACTTGTTTATGGAACTAACTCTGATGTGCAAACAATAATTTTGAATGACTTGATATGTTTGCTTTTAAAAAGAGATACATTATTGGTGTTACATGAGGTGTATGTATCTTTATTTTGTGTTACTGACGTGATATTATTTTTAAAAAGACTTATTAAAATAGTTGTATTATTATTATAATATGTTTATAATATGTGCGCCTTCGATTATGAACATTAAGGAGATTTAATCAGGAAAAAAATAAAATAATCAGGAAAGATAAGATATAATAGTCTTTAAACATATTTTAATTATGTTTCCTTATTAATTTATAACTATTTTGTGACATTATTTTTTTATTAAGACTCTGACTATTGATTTTAAAAATTATGGTAATGGTTTAATGTGCAGTAATAATAAAGAAATGCAAATATAGATCTATAAACGGACAATGCCCTATTGACTATAGTTTCTTAATATGGAATGGCTGTTATAAGTGGTTAAACAATGGTTTAACTACCTATTTTCCAGTCAAAAGCACTATTAATATTAATATTTATCCATAATGAGCTTATCTAAACATCTCCTAAACCTTTAAGATATTTCCTCAAATATTTTTTCGCTGGCCATGCCTTTCCATATTTCTCTCTATCATATATATTATGAGATGATGTATGTTCGTGGCTATATGCACATACTAGACTTATGCATTAAATAATGCATAGCGTGTGTATATTAGTTGTTGCTATTTTCGCCACAGACACAGCAGCAACAACAACTGCAATGGAGCCGAGAGTGTAATGCAATCTGCGAGTTTGGTCTATAAATAATTCGCATCTCGCGAATCTTTTGATAAAAAGTTTTGCGTTTTGTGACTGCTCCGCGACCGCCGCGCTGCTCCTCATTACGATTATTTGGCAGTTTTCTCGCAGGCGTTAAGGCGTTAATTGGGTCATAAATTCAGACATATACAGATATGTATATTCATCTATATTGTGCTGCTCGTATTTATTTTCCAGCGTATTTTTGTATTTTCATTTCTTGTTGTTTATCGAACGAAAGAAAATCAAAGGCGAGGGCAGGGAAAGTTTTGTTGTCCGAGACAAGAAGACACTTCTCTGTAAATGAGGGGGGCTATAAGTTCAAGTTTAAGTTTATTTGTGAGAACAGCTGTGCCTTGGATCCAATTTAATGCAATTTGGCACATTTCTAATTTGTCCTTAATTCGCTTGAGATAATATGGAAAATAAAATTGAACAAATACTGAAACGACTCTCCGTGTATCTATTTTCGAGAAAATGTTTGGCAGCGTGGAAAAAGGTGTTTCATTTAACTGACACTGAATAAGAAAAATTCATTTACCAGCTGAACGCATGAAAATTCAAGTGAATTTTTATATTTTCTGTGTATTATTTCTATAATTATTTAAGGCAAAAATACTATATATTCCAAGTGTGTGTACTGGTGGGGCAAATATGAAAGAAGGAAAATATAACCGCAGGCTTTTAAGTGTGCCCCGTATAAGAAAAATGAATTCATGTCAAAGACAAAACTATTGAATAAGACTTTTTGGCAACGTCTGTTCTGTGCTCTTTGGGCTCTAACGCAAGTTCGTACGTTTATCTGGTGTATGCCTTGGATGCATTACGTAATGAGTTTTACAGAAAATACAAAAAATATGTACATATATATTCCAAATGGCCCGTCGTTGGAGGGGAGAACAAAGCCAAGTGAGCCACGTAAACAAATCACTCGAGTGACACACTTTCCTGTTGGCCTGTCATAAATATTTTGAGAATTTTTCATTTTTTCCAATTTCCCCAATTTTCCCCTTTTGCGGCCATTTGACAGTCGCGAAAATAATTTGTTATCTCCACGAGTGAACCTTTTTGTTTTTTGCTTTTGCTTTGGCTTTCAGTGGCTGGCTTTAGCTTAATTTGACTAAGGATACGACATCTAAAACTTGACAGCAGCATTTCACCAAACAAATATAGGTTGAGAAGTGCAGAAAATATTATATTTCGCAGATTTGACATAAGAAAAATAATGAATGAATTGGCTTTTTGCTGGGAGCACCAAGATGTGGATATATATTCCGAGAGTTTGGCATACTTTTGGGATCTGAATGCTGCATAGTTTGGGGAGGAAATCTTAAAGTGGTTTTGGGGAATGAAAATTAAGCATAAAATTATTAAATTGTAAAATTATTAAGAACAATTATGATAAACCATTCTTTGGTTTATCTAAGAACATTCTGTTTTATTTTATTGGAGTATATATGTTTCTGTTAATTACATATACAAATTATAGTACTTAATGTTAAATATTCCTATAAGAATATATATTTTGTTCTCTAGAAATGATAATATAAATGATATAAAGAACTATTCCGATTAAAGTCCCATATAAACTGTCGCTCTTTCTTTCTTTTGACATTTTCTAGCCCAACATAATGCCACTTAACCCTGACCTTAGCGCCCCATTCTTTAGACATAAGAGCCAAAAAATCCGAGAGACCATATAGATATATATACTTATAATTCGGTTGCATGACAGATTGTTTTCGTTTGCGTTTATAGTCGCAATGACAAGAGCATTAAAAATCGAGTAAATCTATATGGCTGGGGATTTATGTGTTCCACTCGTCATGGGTATTCGTAATACCCCCCTATGTCAAACGGTGACATCATCACGCCTTGGGGCGCCAAGGAGCCCACAAAATGCAAATTGGGACACATCGTGCAAATATATGCTATAATACGGGTAATTGTGGGACAATTTATGGGCCATCTCTCCCTCTGGGACTGCACTTGGTGGATGGATGGATGACACCAACAAGTGATCTCAATGTTCGGGTATTTTGGTACTCAATGCAGAATTGGCACAAACAGATTGGCAGATACAAAGGGGAGGATGGTGGAGGGATTTGCTTATTTATAGCCACCACACTGTGAGCGAGAGAGAACAACAGAAATGCTTTCTTTCATTTATTCAGTTGGCATTTTATTCTCGGCATTTTTATAAAGACAAAAAATCGTTAAGTAAACTAACAGCTACGAGTATGTGGTATAAACAATCCTTCAATCGGTTCGCTATTTCTTTGGGGTCGTTAGTATAATACATAGTTTATACAGTGCGGGATCTCTGGGATCCCATCATTCAGAGGAGCGGATGCTAGATGCTGGATGCTGGGCACTGGAACTGGGACTGATTTCGTGTACAGCGTGCTCGGTTTTGGGACTGGATTTGTGCTGGGCTTGACTTGGCTTATGAACATGTCTATAAGAAACAGATATATTAATAAATAGTATAAGCGAAACAATGGCATGTGGCGGGGTTAGTTCTCAAACCAGAGCGGAAGCTAGAAGAGCGGATAGAAGTTGGCATCTTTGAGTATGTCAAAGGTATCCACCACGGATCGCGCTGGCACCACAGCAGCCGTTGCCACAGTAGTCACAATGGAGGAGGACGAAGCTGTAGAGAGAGTAGAGGTGCCTCCAATCTCCTCGATGGATGAAGCTGGAGTTATGCACACACTCTGCCCGGCACTGATGATGGAGAGGAGATTCTGCTGTGTGGATTCCGGAGTTAAATTGGTGGACACTGATACGGGAGCAATCTCTGCCAGAGCAGCAGCCAAAGCCTTGTCGAGGTGGGAGTCTTCTGTAATCTGTTGCTGAGTCTCTTCCTTGGTTTCCTCTTTGCCTTCCTTTGTCGAAGTCTTCTTGCGTTTCTTGGTCTTCTTTTTGGTGGACGAGGATTGCTCTTCATCTCGCTCAAATTCGGCTATGCCTTCGAGGGAGTCCCCTACAAAAGCCAAACTGCTTCGGGGTGAGAAGAGTCCTGAACCATTGGCCTCCTCATTGGTGAGACTGCTCTTGGAGCTGCGCCGCGAGCGGGACTTCCTCTTGGGTGGCTCTGTCGCCTCTTGATCATCTCTACGTCGAGTGTAACCCATTTGTGTGTCCGAATCGTTGTCATCTCTAAGTTCTTCCTCCGTTTTTGATCCCTTACGCAGCTTCTTCTTGCTCTTCTTCTTTTTTGGCTTCTCAACAGGTAATTCTTCATGGGGAACAGGCTCTTCGGGCTGCTCTTTAGGTGCCTCTTCTTCCTGAGGTAATTCCTCGGGCACATCGGATAGAATTTCACGAACAGGACTGCGACTAAAGAGGGTAATGCTCTCTCCACCAAGACTGTAACGACGGGGATCCATGGGCTCTCCAATGGCACCTTCGCCATTCTCCTCATTTGTGTACAAATACTCATCCTGCTCCTCATCCTGATAACGATCCTGCGATTCCAACTCCTCCTCAAATTGATCTCTGGCTTCTTGCTCTTCTGTCTCAACAACTTTATCCTGGCCATTTCTTTCCACTTCATCATCATTATCGTCCAGCCGGAAGTTCTTGCGCCAGTTGTACTCCCTCTTGGGCGTGTAATTCATGTCCACATCGATGTCATCTTCAACGGCGCCTACATCCAACTTAGGATTATATCCATAACGGGTACGCAATCTGGTGGACTGACGAGCAGCCACATGGGCATCACCCAGGTAACGCATCTCCGATTCCCGTCGCTCGCTCTCTGGAACCAAGCCCAGGGCTACATCCACGTCGGTGTGTCGGGTTTTGGAGCTAGATCGTTCCAACTCCCGGGTCTTGGCCCACAGAGCATACCGCTCACTGTCCGATCCCGACTTTTCCTTCTCTGATTCGCTCTGATCCGAGGGCAGTTGCTCCTGGACCATGGTCTCGTAGTCCCTCAAGATCCCCGATTGCTTTCTGTTCTTAATGGCCTCGTTGTAGATCTGCTCGATGAATGAGTCCGGATCGGAGTACGGTGTTGCTCCTCCCACAGCGCCATCATCTAGGCTGTAGTCCAGGAAATCCTCCACATCCTCAACCTCCTCCCAATCCTGAGCACCGCGATTGGCATAGCGATCTGCATTCCTCTCCGCCTCCTCGCACTCGGAGGTATCATGATGTGACTCATCGGTGGGCTGCGTCCTTTCATTGTTATCCGAGATGCCCTCATCCAGCTCGAACTCATACTCATCCTCGTCATCCTCATCGATCTCCACCACTGTCTGACGCTCATCCTCGCTGTCGTTAGAGCTGCTCCTCTCCTGCTCTAGATTCTCGTGGTCCCCGACAATGTCATAGCTGTAGATGGCATTGGTGGCATCGAATTCAGCAGCCTCGGCTTCAGCGGCCAGAACAGCTCGTGCCCAGGAATCCTGATCCACCACCTCACCCTTGGCATTCAAGTAATCATCTTCATCTTGTGGGTAAAAGTCCTCCTTCAGCCAGGTTCTGGTCCCAGTTAGAGTTCGCACTTCGATCTGTGAGATGTAGACATAGTCATCGTTTGGATACTCCTCCACAGGCTGCTCCTGGGCCAGCGAATAGCGTCGAAAGTGATGATATTCCTCAGGCTCCATTTCGCCCATCAAAGCCGAATCCGAAGCGCGCCGCTCACTGTCCAAAAAGTCAGCGTTCAAATGCCGCGAGAAGCTCTCAAAGTTAACACTCGAGGCGGCCAGTCTGTCCAGAACCTGATCCTGCAGCTCCCGCTTGGCCGCCTCCGCATCAATGTCCCTTAACTGGGTTAACTCCTCTTCCCTGAGCGGAGATCGACTTTGGCTACGCGAACGCTGGAATTCGGCTGTGCGATGACGCAGGTCATCCAATTGAGCTGCAGTTATTTCCTGGCATCCAGCTGCAGCTCTCTCCTCCGAATATGTTTTGGGCTTGGCTCCCAGTCGATTGTCGGTGATGGAGTCTAGTATGACTGCTTGGAGTTCTCTTTGGGCAGCCGCCTGTTCCCTGGCCTGTTCAAAGGTCATTCTAGGCGAAGGACTGCGGGATCGTTGGAATTGCTCGCTTCCCAGGTCAAGGGATTCACCCACATAGGTGGAACGCTTAAAGCCACTTGCCACCAGTTCATCCTGCAAATCTCTGGCCACCTCAGAAATTGTTCGTTCCAGATCCGGTGCTGGCATTTCCCGTGTCATGGCAGCCACTCTCTCCAGTTCTGAATCAGTTGGACTGAGGACTCGCAGCTCTGTCTCTTCGTTGGCATTGTTAAGCTTCTCCAGTGCCTCCAGGTCCAGTTCTCGTTGCCTAACACTCGCAGCTAGGACCGTCTCCAGCTCCTCGCTGTTCTTGCGAAGAGTACGCAGTTCGCTGCCCTCCAAGTTTAGCATTAGGTGGAAGTCATCCAATTTCGGTTCCTTGGAAGGGGATGGCGACCGAGATGGTGATAGGGAACGCATGTCCCGGCCTTCCACAATATGTTCATCCTTCTCGTGCACAAATTCGTAGACGTACTCCACGGTCATGCGGGTTTCCGGCTCCGGTGTCCTTGCTCTTTCCTGGAGCACCTCAAAGAACTGATCATTTTGAGCTATCAACTTCTCGCGTCGCTTCTGTAGACTCTGTTCCAAGTTGGCAGCCGTGGGCAGAGGAGATCGGGAACGGGATCGAGAATGGGAGCGAACTCGGTTCAGACGCAGTTTCTCGAATAATCTGGCCATGCTCTCCGGTGTGTCCTCGGGCTCTGCTTCGTTTTCCTCCGGTGGTGGCTCCACAATTTCAATGGAAATCGTGGGCAGGGGAAGCGGAGATGTTGGTGGCGAAGCCGACTCAATAATAATCTCTGGCGAGTGCATTTGCTCGTGCAGCTTCTCAAAAATCTCATCATTGTGTTGAATGCGCTTTAGTCGTCTGCTTTCCAAACTCTTTTCTATATTGTCGGCTGTGGGTAAAGGCGAACGGGAACGTGATCGGGATCTGGATCTGGACTGAGCACACCGCTCCGCTCGCAGGGTCTCCACAAAGAGTCGCATTTCTTCATGTGAGGTTTCTGCATCTTGCATGGGTTCATCAGCCATGTCATTAATCTCGATTACGGGCTGCGGTAGGATGACTTCCTGTTGGGGACTTAGTCTCCCATTGCCATTGATTTCGATTTCCATGGAAGCTTCCGATCCGGAGTGGGACAATCGTTCTGCCAGCTCATCGTTCTGTTTGATCAGCCGCTCCCTGCGTTTGTTAATGCTCTTCTCCAGATTCTCAGAGGTGGGAAGCGGCGAACGGGATCTCGATCTCGAACGAGTCCTCTCCACAGAAGGCTCTCGTCCTCTTTCCGGCTGGGGAGCAGTCAGAGTAGATCCCTCTAAGGGTTCGTATACCATGGGCACAGCGGCATTTCCATTCCTAGCATCATCCGCCACTGTCTGCACTTGCAGTGGTTGATCGTTGGGGGCTTCATTTCCATTTAAGTTCGATTCGAGAAGTTGAAGAACAGATTCACAGTTCAGCTCTCCTGCCAGCACGCCCTCCTGGGTATCATCGTAAACTTCTAGAGATTTCTCCGCATCCACATCCATCCGGTTGGCCACATTCTTGGGAGTCGGCGAGGGATTACGCGAAGTGGATCGAGATCTCGAGGGATTCACCGAAGCCGTAAAGTCGTAAAAGTCGCTGAGTCCCTCCATGAGCAGTCCATACTGATCCCGCCAAGGAGCCGTATCCGGTTGCTGGACATTGATGATGGGAGTTCGTGGCGTTGCTGTTGCCTGCTGTTGTTGTTCCGGCTGCTGCTCCTGACTGGCAGACCAGCGCTCCTCGTAGTGATCCATCTCATCGATGCGCGGACTGCGACGTAGGCCAGGTGAGCCGCCCCTCGATTGCTCCTCGGTTGCGGAAGAGGTTTGCAACTTTCGGGGCGAAGTAAGGCAAGGAAGCAAGCAGAAGAGCGAGGCGTTGGTTATATGGAAAGCAAAAAGGTAAAGCGTTAAGGCAGACGACAGAGCAGTGAGGGATTCTGGAGGAGTTCAGGTTCAGGAAGATAAAGTTTAGTGGGACTGGAGTGGTGCTGGGTGGATCTGGTTCTGGTTGGTTGTTTGGCTGACCTACGCACTTACATTGGCTTTGTTGCTGTCGCCGGCATCCGTTGTCTGCGAGTTGTCCTTTTCCTTATCCGTTTCCTGGCAAACACACAGTAAATCATTGTTAAGGATCCTGGATTGATAGCTCCATTTACTCACCACCTGCTCCTTGGAGTGTTGCTGTTTTAGGGCTGCCACAGCCTCTTCGTTCTGTGCCTCGGTGGCCTCCTCGAAGGAAGAGGATTTTGGCTCATTGGTGACCTCGTCCTCCACATCCTCGCCCCGGGATGGCTTCTCCATTTCGATTTCCTCCTCGTCTATGGAGAGAGCTTTCTCCCGCTTCCAGAACTCGGTGTCCTTGTAGTGTTCTGGTACCACCTCACCCCATGGATTTGTGCTCTCTTCGCCGAGCATTTCCAGGGATCCACTTGCCTCCGAGGGTGACTTCACATCCTTGGCCGGACTCCTTTTATGGCGACGATGGTGCGACTTTACCTTTAAAGTTGGTTCACTCGTATACTTGATGGGATTGTAGTCCTCCCGGTCACCGTGGCGCAGCTCCTCCTCCTCCAGCGAGGTGAACATCTTCAGCTCCTCGTCGCGGGAGGCGCGTGAGTCTCGCGAAGAGTTAGAACTGCCACTAGAGCGTCGCTTCTTGAAGGCTCTTCTTCTGCCCGAGCCATCTTCTCGGACCAGCGGACGATTCTTGATTCCATCTAGGGATCGCAGGTAGTCCTCGGTGTACTGGACATCGGATATTTGGTCTTCCCCTTCGGGCTCTGGGCGTTCTCCTTCGGCTCGGTTAGTTTCATCCGAAGGTTGGGTGCTAAACGACGAGGATTGCTGGCTGGAAATGGGCTCAACGGAGGATCCATCATCTGAGACGCCAGGGAAGGTGAGGGTCTTGGACTTGGTCAAGTACGGCTCCTCGGAACTACTGCCCTGACCGAACTGCGTTTTCACCTTCTGCACCACAAGGGGTTCATCGGGTTCTTGGAATCTGGGTGGTGCCACCTTCTTCACGCACAGCTCCTCCACCACGGGTTCCATGCCGGCATACTCATCAGCCTCCTCCTTGCTGTTCCTGGCCATCAGTTGGCGCTGCTGCAGCATCACCATCTCCTCCTCGGCCTCCAGGAAGCGACGGGCATTCTCCTCGATCATTCGCTGCTTCTGCTCGAGATCGGATTTGCTGGAGATCAGGCGTCGTGATTGCTCGGCAAAGGCGGCTTCTTCCTCCAGTTCGCTTTCGGTGGCACTCATATTACTCTCTCTTTCGGCGGCCAGAAGACGTTCTACGATCTCAGCATCTCGCCGGGCCTGTGCTTCCTCATCGTCGGCTTCTTCCCGCTCTCGCTGGATCTCGGCTTCGAAGATTCGACGCTCGGCCTCAGCCGCCTCCTCTGCTTCGGCCAGGACTCTTTGCCGTTCGGCTTCTTCCTGTTCCCTCAGTCTTTCCGCTTCGGCCTGCTCTCGCTGTCGTTCAGCTTCGGCTTCGGCCTGCTCTCTCAGACGCTCGGCAGCGATCACTCTGCGTTCGTTCTCTTCACGCTCTCGCTGCTCTTCAGCTAAATGTATCCTACGTTCGTTCTCCTCACGCTCTCGTTCGGCCTCAATCAGCTTTCTTTCGTTCTCCTGTCGCTCTTTCTCCTCCGCCGCGCGTTCTCTTTCGGCCTGTTCTCGTTCGCGCTGTCTCTCGGCCTCTATCAGTTTCTTCTGCTGTTCTTCGGCCTCCTCTTCCTGCCTCTTGACCCGCTGCCTTTCTTCCGCCAACTTGGCCTCTGCCTCGGCCAGCTGTCTTCGCGTCTCGGCCTCTATTTGCTGCTGACGCTCCAGCTCAGCGGCCAGGGCTTCTCTCTTCTCGCCGGCAGGATCCACCCGGAAGCCTTTGCTGTACATAACGCCATCCTGCATGACATTGGTCCCTGCCAGGGCCTCCCTTTCGGCGGCCTCCTTGATCTCCTTATCCAAGCGTTCGCGCATCCGAGGCAGCTCTTCACTATCAGCGGCTGCATCCAGGGCCGAGGTCTCCGGATGCCGGAAGGTCCAGTGGTAGAGGTGGCGGGTCACATAGGCAAACTCCAGGGCTCCAAAGTAGGTGATCAGCAGCGAGAAGAGCAACTCGCCGACGCCGGTTAGCGCCGTCTCCCCGGCGGCCATTGCGTAATTTCCTCGAAACCCAAATCCAAATCCTCAGACGTTCTGCGATGCAATGCGGGTGTATCTCGGCCGAGAAACGAATCGACTCACGCGTACGAGTATTATATAAAATATATTCACCACGCACTCGAGACACTCACTCACACTCACACAAACCTCTCACGTTAATGGCCAGTCGATTAGGTAATTCGAAAAATATTTATTTCACTTTCGACGCGCCCGCTTTTCGCTCAAAACTGTATCGATGGATATTTATGTTTATTTATCTAAGAATTCCGTATATTAAAAATCGCTTTCTTCGAGAGAGAGAGAGAGTTCGAGATTTGGGAGGAGATACGGGAAAATCGCAATCCGGCGGCAGTTGCACCGGGCGGGCTCTTGTTTTCCGCTAATCGATCGTCTTGCAACTGATTAGTGCGCCAAGTGCGAGTGGCCAAGGGCCCCCTATCGCATATGTATAGTGAATCAGCGGCGAGAGCACTGAATCCGTATCCGCCAAGAACCGAATCCCAGTCGCCGTACCGCTGTCCGTTCAAATGGCAAATGGCGCTAATTGACGGCCCGCGAAGAGCGAGCGACTCAACTGACAAGACGATTCGCCGAATAAAAACTCTTGGCAACACCAAATGCCTCGGCCGCTGCACTGTCACTGGGTTTCGGCCACTTTTTTGCTGGCCGCCTTCTGTGACAAATGCCAAAGCAATCGGAATTGGCCAAGGCGGATTTTCTAATCAGTTTAGTCTCCCGAACCATTTTCCACCCCCAAGCACCTCCTCCTATCCGTGCCAGGCCTTCTTTAAAGGGGATCTATTTTCGTTCTGTGCTTCGATTGTCAATTTCCACAAAACACTTTTCGCCACTTTTTTGCTTTGCTCGCAGTTTTCGTGCGGGAGAACAGTCAGTGTCGTGATTATAAATCAGTTGGAGATGGTGAGTGTACTTTCGTTACATATTGATTTTTGAAGATTTTAAGACTTGAGGAATTTTATTAAGTAAATTAAGTCGAGAGCTTGATTTTTGGTTTCAATTTATGAAGTAATTAAACGATTTAAAATGGTTACAAAGTGTAAGTTTTGTTCCTAAGCTTTTTAAGTGCTGATACAATATTTTTAAATTGCAAACATGTTGTTTTTATTATAATTGAAATCTATTTTTAACTTTATTAAAATCAATATCTATTTTTGTGGCTCTTTTGTTTATATTTCTAAATATTACTCATACGCCCTGTATGTAAACAAACAGGAAAATGCTTCGATGTTAATTGATTTGAGTGACTAATCCAAAAAATACTTCGAATATGTAGAACAAATAATGCTTAGACTAAAATAAATAAGTTTGTAAATTATTATTGCCAGAAAAAAACATTAAAAAGACCATCTCTAATTTAACTAAGAGCCTTTATTAATATCCCAAGTTCTTATACTTTGTTCTATTTTATATTCCTATGACTGACACTGTACTCTTTGCTTTGTTTTGCAAATATGTCGTTCTTTGGCATGGCCAACGTCCGGACCGGGGGCCAGGGTCGCCACGCCCCATTTTCACGCCGCCCCCGGACTGGTGCACACACAAATGTTTGTCATAAATTTCGACTTGGCACTGACACTAACATTGCCAGCAGCTCGCGAATTCTTCTCTATCTTTTCTCCCAGACCGATGGCTCGGCACTCTCTTTTCATGTTTTGGCTAGGCTTTTCTTTTCTTTTCCTTTCTTTTTCTGCACTGCACACCACCACCACAAACAATGGGAACAATCAGCATAATTATTGCCAATTTGCAGCATAATTGTGCTCTTGGCCCACATTAGGAGCCTGACTATTTCTGAATTCCTTTGTTTATTTTCGTCAACTAATTTGCATTAGATGTCGCGGCCAAAAATACATTAATTTGAAAGAATATATAAATATATATGTATATATGGGTCGCCTGGGTGCTGATTTATTTATTTATTTTGGTTTTTCACAACGAAAGCGAAAGTTTTTCTTTGTTTGTGGGAAAATGATCGAAGCAGAGAATGAGAAAAGACAAATTTAATTCAGGCGTTTGAGAGAACAAATTTGTATATTGAGAAACATTTCAGAGAGTTTTGTTTGAACAGAGAAAAGAAGAATGGAATTAATGCAAAAATTAATTACAATTAAAAACATACTGTAAGTTCCAAGCAAACTTTAATGATGCTTAATACTTAACACTCCTAAGATCAAGAAATCCCTTGCTCCACTCTGATATTTATCGTTTGAAATAATCACAGAAATTTTTGCATATAATGCCACTTATTGTCCCTTTAAAATTCCCCTAAAATTCTTGAGATTAAAATCCAAAAATATCTCAATATCTTGAGGGATTTTTGTGCAATCTCTGCTGACCTTCACCAATTTCCGGCTCACTCACAATGAACTTCCGCTCGCAGGATGACAACGCGTCAGCGGCCAATGCTGCCAATGAACTGGCGGCGCTTCTCCTTGCTTTTTCTGCAGCAAACGAGCAGCTGGAAAATATTCCCGCTCCTGTCTCCTGGGCACAAAGTGAAGTTCAATGAAAATGCCATAACCTTTGGAGGGACATAGGGCAAGGGGGGAAAGGGAAAAAGAGCAACAACGGATGGCCGCACCTAAGCAATAAATGTGAACTGCGTGCGGCGGACGATAAAAGCCAGAAGCCGTGACAGCGGGCACTCACTCACAGCGACACTGCCGCACCGATTGACACACAGATACAATCTGCAGAATGCGCCCCAAAGTATGCCACACATTTGATTTTCAATTAGGGATCGCAAGGGGGAGCACTGAGAAAAATGAGATACTTTAAATGGTATATCTCTATACTAAAATCTATGTGTTTCAGGGTAAAAAGACTGACAGAACCCCATATAATAAATAATATATACAATATGAAATACATCTTAAAAACGAGATTCTAGTTTGTTTCTATGATTCACTCAAAGGACTCAGTACTCACCTCATCACAGCCGGCGCAGCGTGGCTTCAGCATTTCCGCGTAATGCCGCTCACAGTAGACCTTGTCGTCATGGACGCAATAGGTGAGGTCCACCAGGAGTGAGTTGCAGGTGCTGCAGGTGAAGCACTTTGGGTGCCACATCACACTTTCCACAAACTTGGGTGCCGCCACCACCAGTTCACCGGTGGCTATCTCGTTATCACAGTGCGCACAGTGCTCATCGTAGGGGGCATCCTTAATATAGGCTATTCCACCGAAAGGATAATGGAATTCAGTTGGATCATCCAGGGCAAGGTCACCAGAAGAGAATTAAATAAAGAAATTATTATAGTTTATGTTAGATTAATTAAGTGATTAAGAACTCACCTATATCCAGTGCAATTTCATTCCGCGCCGTCACAAAATCCTCGAAGGAGGCCTCATGCTGCACCTCCAGGTGCTTGCAGTGCTCCAGCGACAGGTCCTGCTTGGGCAGCTGATACGAGATCTGACGCTCTCGACTGCATGCTCCTTCGCTGCCCAGCCGGGGCACCACCTCCTCGGGCAGCTGCTCGAAGTAGCGATTGATCCGCGAGGAGGCTCTTACACCGGGCGGGACCCATGTGAAGCCCAAATCTCGCGCCTCCACGCCAGAATCCGCCGGAGAGACGAGCTTGAAGCCAAGTCGTTCATGCACATTGGTCGTCTGTTGCTGATATATGGCATGCGCCTCGCGAGGACATTTGCAGGACTGGCAGGTTTTTCTGGAAGATCAGAAGGAGATGGATTAGCTGCGAACTATGTAACAATAAGGAAATAAGATATATAATATATTATATATAATAGAATTATATCTTATCTGGTTAGTCTTGGATACTAACTATCTTTAGATAAAGAAAGGTATTTGAAAATGTAGTAAATATATTTTAATAAAATATATACAAATAAATTTATATTAGAAAAGTTTGCCCCTTATTATGATTCCCCAGAATATTTATAGATATCATACTATATGCCCCCAAAACACCATTTTCTTTCCACTGTAAGCAGCTTCGTTGGCGTGGCGCCATCCAGCGACAGCTTTAAGCACCCATCGCGCTCCGTAAAATTGGAAAATCTTACCTCACAATGAGATCGTATATCTCCTTTCGATCAAACACCTTACAGTAGATGCTGAGGACATTGAGGCAGGCATAGTCCATGCCCGTCCAGGGCACATCCGAGGAAGCCAGTGCCGCCCACAGTGGGCACTCTGCGTGACGGTCCAAGTCGAGCATTTTCACCATTTTATGCCACTTTTAGCTTTTGACTTTTAACACTTTTAACCCAAAGGTGTTTAACCTTTACACTGGTTACCGTTGCTGATTGTATTTTCGGCTTAATGAACTTGGCTTTCATGGGGTCTCTGTTTCTCTTTAAATTTATTGATATGTCTGTGTGTATCTGTGTTTATGGCCTGACTCGGCACTATTCTTTGGGGATCTTCTTAGGGGGAAATCGCTCTGCCACCTCCGCGAAAATAAAACAAAAGAAAAGTACTTGCGGTTAAAGCTAAATCACCTTTCAGTCGGCACGTCGGGTTATTTGCGTTATTTGCTCATTGACATTTTGATTAAAGCGCTAATTTGACCTTTACTCTGATACGTCAGTATCTACATACGTACTCTGGGATATGTTCTTTTGTTTACTATCAAAGAATTTGAGTTTTCCCAGGACGGGGGCGGAGGAATTCTCCGAGAACTGGGAACTCTACATGTTGCGAATAACTATAATTGCTATAATTGTTTACTTATTTTTCAATTAGAGATACAAGCAAAATAATCGGCATCATAAATACACTCGCACCCATCGGAATGCTGCGTAAACACGTAACTGATACACAGAAAACAAATTTAAAAATTAACATTCAAAGGAAATGAAAATAAACAGGATATTTGCTAAATCAATGACCATTTCTTAATGTTTATTAATAAAATATGATATATTATAGAAATGGACACTGTTTTATATTAACTAGTTTAAAAACCATCAATTGTCATCTTCAAATAAGAATAAATTCTTTCAAACAGTTAATATACATTTAATTAATTTTCCCATTATTACAAGCATTTCTTTAAGGCAATTTCTTTAATAAAAAGATTAAATACTTTATTATTTATGATTTGTATCTCTAAATAAAATGAGCTCACATTTACGACCTCTCCTTTTAGCTGACAGTTTACGAAAAAGAAGTGAAAATAAAAAACGTCCCCACAATCAAATAAAATAAAAGGTAGAAAAGCATCTTTTGATAAGATTAATAAAGGTTTCTCCCGCACACTCACACACCCAGCTCCTGGTTAGGATTGGCCAGCGGAGTGTGTGATGTCATCATGGGGAGGGGGAAGCAGAGAAACCTAAGGTCGAAAAACCGAAAACCCAAAGCCGAAATTGCCAAATTCCATTTGCTCAATCATCGACAACGGCAGCCAAACTGCGTTAGCTTTCAAAAAAAGATAAGCCAATGTGAGTTCCTCCACCTAAATGCTATCAAACGGAATGAAAAGGTGGAGATTCTATATAACATACTATATATTATATATACTTTATACTGGTTGACCTATTATGGTCTCGTCTGGCAGTCTACGGATGAGGAACTGTTTGCTAATTGCTCACGACTTTGATGCGGAAAAGTGCAACA